CGTCAATGCCCCGCCCGAGTGAACGTCCGCTGAAAGGACTTCCGATACGATTAGTTCCGGCCGTTCACTACTCCCATACATTGTACAACATGTTTACGAGTACGATGGTGAATGCGCACGCGCGGTTATGTTTATGCGTTTCTTATCTTTTCATTTAAGAAATAAGATAGTGTTATGTTTACGAATGTACATACAATTATAATGAATGATTACATTTTCTAATGATTTTATCATAATGATATATTGGCTCTGAAACTATTAAAAAAAACTTCAATTATAATGCAACGCTAAAAATCATATGAAGGATGTTGTTGCAATAGAAGCAAAAACGGCTGCCGGTTAAGTGGCGTTGAGTGCAGATTCGTATTCTTTTTTCATTGTTGTGAAAACAAACACGACGAAATTACTCGCGTATTGTTTTATTGAAAGGAAGCGTGTAGTGTTTTTGAATACATACTCGTACTCCCAGAAACCAAACAATCGAGTGCTTAACACCTGCATCGTTATACAAATGCCTATGTCTTAACGTGCCTTTTACTTTCATTGCATTTGTAATTCATGCTCTTAACGTAAAATAATCCTTTTATCCTTGTCAAGTTTACTCGCTGGCCTTTGAAATGCAAAGCAGTAAAAGTTATGAATTTTAATACAGAAGTTTTAAGTCACATTTGTGATTTTGTTTATATTGTGTTTGTTAAACATACTATAAAATAAATATTTTAAATATATATAGTTAATATATTGAAAATAATCCATACATTGATTGCCCTTTCATTAGATCCCAATACGCAAAGGCACGATGCATGCTTGCATGATGCACTTTGAAACGTCTTTCACATTAAATTTTCAAAGGAAGCAGTAAAAAAAGGTATTATTGTGTGAAAATTAATAGCGAATAGACCGCATAATAGCAACAATGAATTTTTATTATGTATATAAAAAATAACAAGTTTAATTAAGTTGCGTGCTTAATAGGGCAATTGATTGATTTTTAATCACAAACGATTCTAATCTAAATTATTGTCTAGGTATGTATTGCATATGGCATGACTTATGTTGCCATACTTATATGTATATATGCTTACACTTCTTTGGCGTAACAGAACAAAAATAGCTAAAGATTTCATCCCGTATGTCACAATTCTCTGTTTGTAAAATTAATGAAAGTTAATAAAATAATTAAATAAAGCATATTAGGCATATTACAATCATATATTTATAGAGTATCATATAATTTATAAATTTTTCGTGTCACAGTGTTTGTAACAAAACTCCTCCGAAATGGCTTGACTGATTCTTATGAAATTGTGTGTAGTAGGTCTGAGAATAGGACGTAAACTATTTTTCATATCCCTAAGTGATAAGGGTGGTCCACCCCAAAAATATATTTCTTACTTTTCGGACATTTTTTTTATGATTCGGCATTAAAATACATACAAACTAAAATTTTCACTAGAAAGGAGCGAGAGTGAGTCGCTATTATTATATATCACTAGCATTGCCCGCGGTTCTGCCCGCGTTCAGATGATCAAAAACCAAATTTTTAGGTTTTACATATTAGTATACTCTTTCATTGCAGTTTTTATATTTTTTCTCAGAAATTAGATATTTTCCCGCGGTAAAGAGTATCCTATATGTTGATCCGGATAACCAGCTATCATCATACCAAATTTCATCAAAATCCCTCCAGTGGTTTTTCCGTGATGTAGTAACAGACAGACAGACAAAAAATCTAAATACTATAGATTCGGTTTCTGTATCGATAATAATGTTTATTTCAATGAGATTTTCCAAAAGATATTTAATGTACAGATTCGGCTTAGTTACAATTTTATTATATGTATAGATTTGTCCGACAATAACAAACGGTTAGCATGGCAACAAACAGTTATCAGCTAACTTCATCATGTCGCTTTTTGGCCGCAATAATTTTTTCCAAACGTCCCAAAAGCGCCGCACCGCCAACCATCCCACGGTGTGGACACTCCATGCCGGAAATAAATTTCTCACAAAGAGAAGTCCGGCGGGAGCTGCTAAGTCTTGATGTTCATAAGTCGAGTGGGCCCGACGGCATACCAGCAGTGGTACTCAAACAGTGTGCTCCTGAGTTGTGCCCTGTACTAACGCGACTTTTCGCACTTTCCTACCAATCTAGGCAAGTACCGTCTTCGTGGAAGACCGCCCATGTGCACCCGGTGCCCAAAAAGGGCGATAGATCAGACCCATCGAATTACAGGCCTATCGCTATTACCTCTCTTCTCTCCAAGGTTATGGAGCGTGTTATTAATACCAAGCTTCTCAGATACCTAGAGGAACACGATTTGATCAGCGACCGGCAATACGGCTTTCGCCACGGTCGCTCGACTGGTGACCTTCTAGTGTATCTGACACACCGGTGGGCTTCAGCCATCGAGAGTCAAGGTGAGGCGTTGGCAGTTAGCCTAGATATAGCAAAGGCGTTCGATCGGGTCTGGCACCGGGGTCTTCTCTCGAAGTTGCCATCTTACGGACTACCCGAGGGCTTGTGCAAATGGGTTGCCAGCTTTTTATCTGGTCGATCCATCAGAGTCGTCGTTGATGGTTGCTGCTCGGAAAAACTAGATATAAACGCTGGCCTCCCGCAAGGTTCTGTGCTGTCTCCAACGCTTTTCCTTCTGCATATCAATGACTTGCTGTCTTTTGATGGCATTCATTGCTATGCGGACGACAGCACTGGAGACGCTTTCTACACAGGCCGTGCAAACATCCCTCGCTCCGCTGTGGTAGAAAGTCGCGAACAACTTGTGTCTCAAATCGAGAGTATTCTTTCCAGAGTCTCCGATTGGGGTCGGGACAATTTAGTCCAATTTAACCCCTCCAAGACACAAGTTTGTGCGTTCACCGCTAAGAAAACCCCATTTACTGTGGCCCCTCAATTCCAGGACACACCCCTAACCATCTCCAACAGTATTGGTATTCTTGGTGTCGACATATCCAGCGACGTCCAGTTCCGAAGTCACCTGGAAGACAAGGTCAAGCTGGCATCCAAAAAGCTAGGTGTGCTTAATAGAGCGAAGCGGTACTTCACGCCGGGACAAAGACTGCTTTTATATAAATCGCAAGTCCGTCCCCATATGGAGTACTGCTCGCATCTCTGGGCGGGAGCACCGGCATACCAGCTTGGGCCTTTTGACTCGGTTCAGAGGAGAGCTGTGAGAATTGTCGACGATCCAATACTCACAAGCGATATAGAGCCCCTAAGTCTAAGAAGAGATTTTGCGTCCCTATGTGTGCTCTATCGTTTGTACAATGGGTTGTGTTCCGAAGAATTGTTCGAAATGATGCCCACGGCCACTTTCTATCACCGCACCGCTCGCCATCGACAGGGAGTTCATGCTCACACATTGCAGCCCAAATGGTCCCGTACAGTTCGGTTTCAGAGGAACTTTCTCCCACGGACCATCTCGCTGTGGAATGAACTCCCTGCCGAGGTTTTCCCAGAGGGTTACAGTATGGGGTCCTTCAAAAGGGGAGTAAATAGGTTTTTAAAGGGTCGGCAACGCGCATGTGATGCCCAAGGTGTTGCAGGCGTCCATAGGCTGCGGTAACCGCTTACCATCAGGCGGGCCGCATGCCTGATTGCCACCGACGTGGTATAAAAAAAAAAAAAAGTACCTATAACTTCTAAAAAATAATCATGGTTGAATTGCGACTTTTAGGCGAGCACTAGTACCAAGTAAATAAAATACAGACAGTACCCGTATTATAAAAATAAATATGGCGTAAGTATGTACAGGTAATGATGATGAAATGCTATGACTTAATTTTTATAAGCGACTTTATGTGCAGATTATCAACGTATTAATTTTACACGAGAACTAAGTACATGACTTAGCTATACCTACAGCCTACTGTTAGATTTGCAATAAAACGATAATCCGTAACTGCGTGAAAAAGTGAAAAACCAACAAACAACTTACGTATTTTTATTATTATTTAGTAAGTAAGGATAATTTCGATATAATACATAGAAAGACATAGATAGGTATTATATTCAGCCCTTTTTCACATTTTTGCTTCAATACAAGGAGGATCAAGCTATAGTCCATCACGGTGGATAAAAGCGGGATTTACATGTCATTTTACCGCGATATTTTCTTACGCCGTCAGATAACACATGAAACATCAGATGTGCGAGATCCGGGATTTGAACACGCTACACTTGTTTTTCCAAGAAAGCGCGTTACCACTGGGCTTCCACTGCCTTCAACAATTAATAACAACAAAAGATACCTAGATATTAATTAATATCAAATTACTTTAATTGTATCTAAATCTAAATTGTAATAACAGCAAATCATTAATTGTTATTATTTGTTAAACGCATATTAGCATATTAAAGAAAAACCTCTGATTGATAGACATCGTCTATATAGGTGACCTAGCATTGCCCGCGGCTCCGCCCGCGTTCAGATGACCAAAAACCAAATTCTTAGGTTTTACATATTAGTATACTCTTACATTGCAGTTTTGTATTTTTTCTCAGAAATGAGGAATTTTCCCGCGGTAAAAACTATGCCATATGTTCACCCAGATAACCAGCTGTCATCATACAAAATTTCATCAAAATCCCTCCAGTGGTTTTTCCGTGATGCGGTAACAGACAGATAGACAAAAAATTTAAAAGCTATAGATTCGGCCTCTAAATCGATAATAAAGTCCATTTCAATAAGATTTTCCAAAAAATATTCAATGTACAGATTCGGCTTAGTTACGATTTTATTATATGTAGGTATAGATTATTTATCTGGTTTGTCTCAGAAATATTCCGATGATTGATGACATACATCGGATATAAATGCTTCGCTGACTGCGTGTGCAGAATTTTTATTTGTTTAAGTGATGAATAGATTAAATCAAGTAAGATTTAAAATCTTTAGCTCTACTTTTATTTATGTTTTATGCTTACATGACCGTTTTGATGTTTCAGATCAGGCCGGTGACCACATGTCGGCGCCATCATGGTGATCGTTACCAGAGTAAGTATATTATATGCAAAAAATTTTTTTTTTAATATTTACTATTAACTGAACACTAAACTATAATTATACTGCATACGTGTTTTTTTTTTAAATATCTTAAAAAAAACGAGTTCTTAAGTAAAAGTAATTTATGTAGCTCCCATGAGAAATCGCTTACTCTTCGTTATCGAAGTCACTGGGGAAAGCGAGTAAAAATTTAAATAGATTAATATAATATATAAATTATTCAACGTGTGTAGGTACCTACGTAGTACGAACTGTACAATTATATCTGAACAATAGTATTGATAAGTTTCACTATATTTTGAGCAGTACAGGTAAGTTATGAATGGTTAGAATTGGCACACAGAACTGTTTGGCAACAAACTGTGTTATTATTACCTAGCATTGCCCGCGACTCCGCCCGCGTTCAGTACACCAAAAACCAAATTCTTAGGTTTTACATATTAGTATACCCTTACATTGCAGTTTTTGTATTTTTTCTCAGAAATGAAATATTTTCCCGTGGTAAAAAGTATCCTATATGTTGCGGGTCAACACCAATCAACAACCAGCTATCACCATACCAAATTTCATCAAAATCTCTCCGGTGGTTTTTCTGTGATGCGGTAACCGACAGACAGACAGAAAAAAATATTTAATATACAGATTTAGCTTAGTTACAATTTTTTTATATGTTTAGATTTTTACAGTTCCTATTTCATATGTAGTATATATTTAATGTGTATAAAATTACTAAAATATTCTTAATGATTACTAGACGTTTGCAGAAATTCGCTAAAAATTATACCAGAATAATCGCAGCTTGAGGTATCATGATTTTCCTTATCCAATACAAAAAGAAAAAAAAAGTGTTATAATATATGAATAACTGAGGTCACGCTATATTACACTCTACATAAATAAAAATAAGAGCTAAAAGCAGTCATTTTGGAAAAGCCTATATTTATGTCTCCCATATACGACTTTGTACAACTAAGTACAATTGTTTACATGAACTCGATCAAAGTTCAAGGCTCCGAACCGACTCGCCTTGAATAACATTAACCCTTTTGAATGAGAGTCGTGGAGTACGTGCGAACCTCACGAGAGGTAATCGCGAGAAGTGAATAGAATAATTTGTAAGTCCTACGCCAATGTAAAACAGTAATTATGCACACTTTATGTTCATATTTAATGATGCAGTATTTTAGCAGCGACAGCGTTTAGCAAGTATTAACAAGAAAATACGTTTTTAGTTTACACGTTGCATATATACATTGCATTGCCAAATGCTTTTTAAGGTTTCGTGTTCAAAGGATCCGCATGAAATTGCAATTTTTTTTAAATCACAAAGGTTATAAGTATAAAAAACTTAATGTAGTAAAATAAATAAAATATTGTAAATCTTGTAAGATTGGATCACTTGGGGTTAGGGGTCGCGTTAGGGATGTTAACTGCTATTCATCACAACCTCTCATAATTCGTCTGTATATAACAAAAAATATATTATTTTGTGGCGGTACAGACCCTTCGCTCACACATTTATATTCTTGCATGTAACCATACTTTTTACAGCGAAGGAAAACACCGTAAGGTAACCTGTTCTGAGAGAACTTATCAAGTTTTCGCAAGACATGTGAATTCCGCGAATCGCCACTTGGCCAGCGTGGTGGACTATGGCCTGATACCTTCGTATTGAAGGGAGGCCCGTGCCTAGAAGTGGGACGTTAAAATAAAAATACAACCATAATTTTTTAATTAAAATTTGTGTATAATGGCTCAAGTCGCGACACATTCTTGTATGTTAATTGTTAAAAAAATTAAGTAAACTGTTAAAACTATGCGAAAACTTTAACTATCGCGCCAAAAGGCTATGAACAAATACATACAATTATATGAAATCTGTCAAAGTAATAACAATTTGAAAAATCACAACTTTTCTGTCAAAACTTCAAAAATCACACTGGAAAGTGAAACACGGCAGGCGGGTTCCGATCAATGCGTTTGGCAAGCACATTCCGGCAGAATCTAGCACTACAGGGCGTTCACCTTACACACAGACACACTTAATTTGTAACACTGTAGATTAAAAGTGCGGAAAATGCTTTATTGATATAGCACGTTGGCTATATAAAGCGCGGAAGACTGCTCTACTGCCAAAGATTTATGATCATTAAACAGTGTTATGTTGAGTGCTTTACGTCTGTTTAATGTATGAACATATTTTATTTACAAGCGGACGTGTAATTGAAGCCAATATTATGACTTTGAGCACTATCTCTAATTTCATTTTAAAAATGTGATACTTATTCATACCTAGAAAAGGAGCTTAAATTGTTATTCTTCGATGTGCTATAATGCAATATTTTCTGTACTTACTAATGCAAGAATTTCGCATGTAACAACGGATCCCTAAGAAGCCACGTCCGCTTTGTAGCAATCAACAGGACATGCCAAATAGAGAGCGAGAGTGGCAACATATTTGGACTGTACGCAAGTTGGCAGTGCTCTATTTAAGGTGAGCGTGGGAGGATTCCAGTTTCAAAACCAAACAAGTTTTATGAGTTAATTTTAGAGTGGACAAACTATTAGGAAACAGCCCAGTCAATTATATATTGCTTTATTCAATATGATTTGCTGTAGAATTAAAAAACCAACTCTTATTCATGCATAATATTCTGCATTTTAACAAATAAGGTGTATTAAAGCTAAGAATAGTAAACAGATACAATTTAGCAAGGCCAATCAAGAATATCGTGAGATGTTATTCTGAGACGTAAAAAAGTTTATTGTTGACTTGAACTAGTAGTTCTTTTAAAATAAAAAATTAAACATTTTGTTAATTTGTTGTAATACGTAATCAAGTTGAATGCAAAAATAAGCGTTTAAATTAAATAACTAGCCATTTCTTATAATATTTAATATCTTATTAAAAATGAAATATAATAGAATAAAAATCACGTAATTCTAAGAAGTATTCTAAGTTTTATCAATTCATATTTTTTTGTTTTCTCTTTAATTAGATATGTGACCAACCATACTGACTCTATTTAATCTGCTTATGGGATTATGTTGCGATGAAACGATGATATACCTTAGTTATAAACAGAAGCCTAATGCCCGATTTCACAAACGACACCTAAGTTTAAGGGATCCCCTAAGCATGGTTAGGGGGCTGTTAGGGGACAGTTTCTGTTTTACCGACAGTTAGGGGTCACCTTAATATTAAAAGGCCCCCTAAGTTTAGGTGCTCGAAATATGGGCTTAAAGACAATCGTAAAACGAAATTTAATTTACGGGCTAGTTTAGGGGACTTTTAAGCTAGAGATCCCATATGTAGGTGGTAGCTTATGGGTTGTTGGTGAAATCGGGCATAAGTCTTCACTTTTCACTTAAACGTCACAAATGAAGTAAACCTGAACTTCCATATAAGCTTGCACTCCTCTAGGGAATAATTCTCAAAAATCTTTCGTTAGCGGACCCTTTCCTATATGTATTACAAATCATACAATACTATATAAACCTACTAGTTATATGTATGTAGTATGTGATCTGTGGTACGTATAAGGAAATCTTGTGCATTTGGTGCTTCTAGAAACCCAACAGCTTAAGTTATGCATTGTCTGTCATTGTTACAGTTTTATTAGGACACTAAAATAACATACCTATAGGTAGATATGTATCTAATATCAACAATTCAATTAATTTAATTAACAAAATATTCTTCTATTATACTCACGCGGCACAATACAAAGTAGAAAGTATTTGGAGTATTTCTTAATAAGTATTTTTATACAGAAAATGTAATGAGCACATAATGAGATGCATTCGTTATTTCTTTTAAGTTAATACTTTCTATAATAAATTTGTGTATTATGCCCGGGACGCTTAGAAAGTCACTAACGACAAGTTTGGGAGACCGGTATTATGTGTTAGAAAAAAATATAGTATTCACGACTAATTATCGTCTCGGATTGTTCAGAATATTATGATTTACTTATTTTGTACAGATATTAGATGAAAATTACTGGTCACAGTAATCTTTGGAACAATATTTTTTGCTTGCTTTTCACCCTGTTTATATCATCAAAAACACATTAAACAGTTAAAAGCACCGATTTAAGGTAATTTCAAAAAATAAATATAAGGTTGTATGAAACAAAAAATACCAGTAGGTAAAACCAAAAATACCTTTTAGATTAAAGATTATTAAATTACTTTTATTTTATTATTAGTTTATTTTATTATATTTTAGAAGAAGAATTTAAGGTTTTTAGCCAGTCCTACTGATTTCTTAGGGATTTTATAAAGCTTTAATCCAAAAAAATAACAAATCATATACCTATTTAGTTTCATGCATCTACTTTTTTGTTTTTTTTTTTAAATTTATTTTAGTTACAGACGGACAGACAATCTCGTTAAAATAGTAGTATTCATGAACAGAAATAATACAATTATATATAATTACAATTGAAAATGTTATGTATAAAAAAAAAGTAGGTCTAATTGCAAGAGGCACGCGACCGACATTTGTTAGTTGCACTTGGTAACATTCACCTACTTTTTTCGTTGTTCGTACATCACCACGCTGACGCAGCACAAATGCACTATCTTTCTTAGAAGTTTCTTTACTACTAAAATTGATAACGAGAACAATATAAAAATCTATAGGTACACAGGCCGAATCTATAGTTTTTAGAATTTTTGTCTTCGTGTCTGTCTATCTGCCTGTTACCGCATCACGGAAAAACCACTGGAGGGATTTTGATGAAATTTGGTATGATGGTAGCTGGTTATCCGGGTCAACATATAGGATAGTTTTTACTGCGAGAAAATATGTCATCTCTGAGAAATCTGTACTAAACGTTAAATCGTAAGTAGGGACGAACCTGAACGGAGTGAGGGTGAGTCGCTAGTATATAATAAAGTTACCTATTTCAGCGTATGCGCATTGACGTTTAGATTTTTTAAATGGACAAGAATATGAATTATTAACATAGATTATTTAACGATAATGAGGTTCAAATTGAAATAGATTTAGTAAAATATACCTGTTACTGTAACCAGTTATATGGCGTGTTAACGCACAATAAACATCTTTGACAGATACATGAAGCTAATAAGCATCTTATGATGTGTTATATACATAGGTAAGTATATAAACATATTCTCAGCGTGACCAAGTTTGTTCATTGCATGCAATGTGATCGTATCAAACAGTGTCCATAACACAGTGGTTGCTTACATGAAATCCAATACGTTTTCTGCTCACCACTTGTACGCTTATCACTATACAAATCAATAAAAGAAAAATAAACTTATAATTTGTTGCATACTTCACTATTACAAATAACAAGTTATTTGCATTTTATGTTCTAGTTTTTAATATATGACTATATGTGTGTATGTTTTTTCGCTAAATTAATATTCTTATATATGGTAGTATCAAATTAATAGAGATAGTAGTTCTGTCATTTACCAAATCAACTATCGACCTCCGACTGACGCGGTCATTGATAAAGTTATCAATATTTAGTTGATTCGCTCTCAGTCACATAAAATGAGAGTATCATTTTACGTGTCTATTGAAATAGTAAGTAAATTATTAAACATGTTGAACGTGATAGAACTAAACAATGATTTATGAATTAGAAACTGTATTCGAGGTACGTACTCAAATTGTTTTATTTAAAATTTTCTAGTATTAATTTACATATTTTGTGTAACTTCTTAGTTCCTAACCTCTTATATAAAAGAAGCTTTTAGCATTCATTAATGCTATCTATATTCTGAACAAATTCGAAGTATTAGGCTAGGAAATAAATGAAACAGTGAGCCATCACTTTCGCCAAAACTTAGATAATAAACACTGGTGTTGGAGGAACGTGCCATCGTCAATAGCTTCGACGAATAAGGAGGGACACTTTCTATTGAATTTTACAATATCAAGTATCGCTTCCGCTTACTTTCGGTAGCAGCGGTAGCTGGGAATGCAGTCGTTGGTACTTTCGTAACGTTGAATTCGGTCTCTATGATTGTGATTAAAATGTTTATTATCATTATAAAGTCAAAATCATTATAAGATAATATTTCTATTAAAGGTTAAATGATGATATGTAATGCCGAATAGTGTAAGATCTGTCGAGTACCTAACCCCTAGTACCCCTAACCCTAAGTAATAAGTTGAACTTGTGCACCGATCGTGTCATAGTACCATGCAATATATATTCATAATACTTTGTTAGATTTACCCGAATATTTGACATTTTAAATAAAACTTGTCTTTTTATAATACTTTCTTAGATTTACGCGAATATTTGACATTTTAAATAAAACTATCTTTTCGGAATCCGCGACAAAATCCGAAAAGATAGTTTTATTTAAAACTTGTCTTTTTATTTAAAATATTGTATTCATATTAAATATTCAATAACATATTATAAACTTATAGCCATTGAAAACAAATCTCTAGTGCACATCTTCCACACTTCGTCTGTGGTGGTCAGATTTTATAATGGTTCAGTACGGCAGAGAAAAAAAAATAAAAAGTTAAGTTTTGCTTAAAACACTTTTAGAATAACTTCAAAATAGAAAGAAGTATCTCACTATCTTCTCGTTCAACTCAGGCGCATGTTTAATTAAGTGATACCTTCGCAAATGAACTGATTTTTATGATTCTTTTCTAATGTTAGGCTGTATCTTATGGGTAGAACGATTGCAGGTGGTTTTAATTAAGAGTACCTACCTTTCAAGTTAAAACGTAATTGTTTTGAATGAACAGAATTGAGAAAGTCATTAAGATTATTATTGTTAAGTAGATAGTACTTTAAACTATAACTTACGTAATAGGGCCCTACTTACTTTTTGTTTATTCTTGTTAATTAAATGTTATGAAATCCGCTCGTACGTTATAACGATGGATTACATAACCATAACTTTTGTGGAAATTAAAAGCAGCAGCTACCAAAAAAGGTTAAAAGATTTAAAGGAGTTTAAGTGTACCTCTCAATGTGATCATCAGCTTATAATTGTTCTTCTCGCCATCATTTGTTTAAATATACCCACATCTTTAAAAAATACAACAATTTTTTAAAGTGATTTTTCTGTAAATATGAATAAAAACGAAGTAAAAATCAAATGTCTCCCTAAATTTTCAGGGTGATTACATATGGATCGAGCCGGTGTCGGGTCGAGAGTTCGACGTCGCAATCGGCGCACGCGTCCTCGCCGCAGAAGGCCGGCGTATACGCGTGCGAGATGACGACGGGCAAGAGCAATGGCTACCACCGGAGAGACGCATCAAGGCGATGCACGCCACATCCGTGCATGGGGTCGAAGATATGATCTCACTAGGTGATCTACATGAAGCCGGTATTCTGAGGAACCTGCTCATTCGGTACAATGATAACCTCATTTATGTAAGTTGCATGATATGTATTGCGTAATTTGAAATTATCAATAAATTATATTAATTATTTGTTGTATAACAGTACGATACTTTGTATCACATGGATTCTTTTATTTAAATATTATAACTTATTACATAGTAGATATTAGCGGCTTACCCTCGCTTCGCTTGGGTTCGTCCCTAGTGAAAAACAATAACGAATCTATCCCATGGGAACCATGCATTTTTCCGGCCATGTGTTATTTCAGATAATAAACTATCTCTGCGCCAAATTTCATCCAGAACCGTTCAGTCGTTCTGGCTTGATTGAGTAACAAACATCCATCCATCCAAAATTTCGACTTTATATATATATACTTAGTAGTAGGATAACATTTGAAAACAATTACCACAACATACACATACAATACAGAATAGTTTTATTTAACTTGTAACATCTTCTTATATATAAAATTTCCATGTCACAATGTTTGTTACCGTACTCCTCCGAAACGGCTTTACCGATTTTTACCAAATTTTATATGCATATTCAGTAGGATACTATCTATTTTCCATACCCCTAAGTGATAAGGATAAGGGTGGTCCTCCCAGACCCCACCCCAGGGACGAACCCGAGCGGAGCGAGGGTGAGTCGCTAGTATATTTTATAAATCTGCGATAGAATGCGTAAAGCCTTCTTAATATGTCCTCATACGATTTAACCTCACCTTTTCAGACTTATACGGGTTCAATATTGGTAGCGGTAAATCCATACCAAATATTACCAATTTACACAGCAGACCAAATTAAGTTATATAAAGAAAGGAAAATTGGTGAACTGCCACCTCATATCTTCGCTATAGGAGACAATGCGTACGCGCACATGCGCCGGTACGGGCAGGACCAGTGTATTGTTATAAGTGGAGAGTCGGGAGCTGGAAAGACTGAATCTACTAAATTAATCTTGCAATATCTCGCTGCGATCAGTGGGAAACATTCATGGATAGAACAACAGGTACATTCTTTATAATATTCTCTTTAAAGAACCTTAATTTTCAATATTATTAAAAAACAAAAGCTTATAAACACTAATGTTTATTTATATAGAAATATTAATATAATCTTGTTTTGTGACAAAGTTTATATGGCATGTAAATAATGTAAATACAGATTATTTAAAATATTTAATTTTTTTTTTCAGATTTTAGAAGCAAATCCTATTTTAGAAGCATTCGGTAACGCAAAAACCGTTCGCAACGACAATTCCTCACGCTTTGGTAAATACATCGACATACATTTTAACAGCAATGGTGTTATTGAAGGGGCTAAAATAGAACAATACTTGTTGGAAAAGTCTAGGATAGTGTTTCAAGGGACTGATGAAAGGAACTATCATGTCTTCTACTGTTTATTGGCGGGCTTGTCGAAAGAAGAGAAAAAGAAATTAGAACTAACTGAGCCATCCGAATATAGATATCTATCTGGGGTAAGTTTATCTATGGAATAAATCGTATTTAAACTTTATATTATTAGGTTTAAAGCGAAAAAGATTTTCTGATCTTAACTTAATATTAAATTGTAAGAGAAGATTTTAAATTCTTCACCGATGGCTTTAAAATTTTGACGCGTATAGTGTCTTTACATGGAGAAAGTTTTATATGCATACATATGGATATCATACGCCGCAGGCAAAGGCTAGTTATGAATAAAAATAATTATTTAAATTATAACTTGTAATGTATACGTAACTAATGTTTTCATAATTATACTATAATTATGTTTTTTATCACTTCAATATAATTATTGAGGCATTATAGTTATTTTGCTTAAACTCTTGGGTTTCCTTAAATACAAAACAAATGTTCACTTAACTCACATGGATAAAAATTAAGATTTATTATAATTTTCAGGGTGGAAGTTTTACATGTGAAGGTAGAGACGATGCGGCCGAATTCGCAGATATTAGGTCAGCAATGAAAGTCCTACTATTCACAGAGGCGGAGATTTGGGAGATATTAAAATTATTAGCTGCCGTATTACATTGCGGAAATATAAAGTACGAAGCCACTGTAGTAGATAACTTGGATGCAACAGAAATCATAGAACAAGCAAATGTTAGAAGGGTTGCTACTTTGCTAGGAGTTCCAACACAATCTTTAATTGGTGCATTAACCAGGAAAACTTTGTTTGCTCACGGAGAAACTGTTGTGTCCACTCTAAGTAAGACTCAATCTGTAGATATAAGAGATGCATTTGTCAAAGGCATCTATGGTCGTCTTTTCGTGACGATTGTTAGGAAAATAAATGCTGCTATCTATAAACCGAAATCGACTACACGAACTGCTATCGGCGTCCTCGATATATTCGGTTTTGAAAACTTCGACCACAACAGCTTTGAACAATTTTGCATAAATTTCGCAAACGAAAATCTTCAACAATTCTTTGTAAGACATATATTTAAGCTGGAACAAGAAGAGTATAACCATGAAGGCATTAATTGGCAACATATAGAGTTCGTAGATAATCAAGATGCACTAGATTTGATTGCTCTTAAACAACTTAACATAATGGCTCTAATTGATGAAGAGTCTAAATTCCCAAAAGGAACAGATCAAACGATGTTGGCAAAATTGCACAAAACACACGGCCTACACAGAAATTATTTAAAGCCTAAGTCAGATATCAATACTAGTTTTGGCTTGAACCATTTTGCCGGAATTGTATTTTACGATACTCGAGGTTTTCTAGAAAAGAATCGAGATACATTTAGTGCAGATTTATTACAACTAATTCATATTTCAACGAATAAATTCCTACAACATATATTCCAGGAAGATATAGTGATGGGATCAGAAACACGGAAACGAACTCCGACATTATCAACCCAGTTTAAAAAGAGCTTAGACCTTCTTATGAGAACACTAGGAACTTGCCAGCCTTTCTTCATACGTTGTATTAAGCCCAACGAATTCAAAAAGCCTATGATGTTCGATCGTGGACTATGTTGTAGGCAGCTCAGATATTCTGGCATGATGGAAACAATCCGAATTAGAAGAGCTGGTTATCCAATCAGGCATAGTTTTAAAGAATTCGTTGAAAGATATAGATTTCTGATATCAGGAGTACCACCCGCTCATAAAACTGACTGTCGAGCTGCTACTGCCAAAATATGCGCAACAGTTTTAGGAAAATCTGATTACCAATTAGGCCATACTAAAGTGTTTTTGAAAGACGCTCATGATCTATTCCTTGAACAAGAGAGAGACAGAGTCCTTACGAGGAAAATATTAATATTGCAAAGATCGATTCGGGGATGGGTTTATCGAAGGCGGTTTTTGAAAATGAGAGCTGCTGCTATTATGATACAAAGGCAATGGCGCGGAAAGTTGCAGAGAATTAGGTATAATAAGATGAAAGTTGGATATGCGCGCTTGCAAGCTTTGATCCGTGCACGAGTTCTGGCTCATCGGTTTAGACATTTGAGGGGTCACATCGTGTCATTACAAGTAAGTATAAATATTGATTTAAAATAATAAAATGATAATAAAGTATTTATTGATCTAAAGCAATTAACGTTTTTATTCTAATAAAATAATTCAAAAGACACTACTCTTAATATTATTTTCATTTCCTTAAAAAAATATTCCTTGTTTTCTACGCGGCTTGTAAATTCCTTATAATATGTAGCAATTCGCAGAAAATCTCTATAGAACGTTAAAATAAATTCACATTTTGTAATAAGAAAAAAATTGTAATCTGACTCCAGGCGGCCGCTCGAGGTTATTTGGTCAGAAGGTCTTACGGTCACAAAATGTGGGCTATCGTCAAGATCCAAAGTCACGTGCGACGCCTTATAGCCATGCGAAGATACCGAAGACTGAAGCAAGAAGCTATCGCTCACAACGAAGCATTGCGCTTGCGAAGGCAAGAGGAGCAGCGGCTACAGCACCAGGGCAACACGAGGGCTAAAGAGATCGCAGAACAAAACTATAGGGTACGTGTTTTTTTTATTATATTTTTTTACTAACTTTACTTGACTTGACTTAAATCTTAATAAATAGGCTATAAAACGCAAAAAAAATTATTCATACAGACCAGTGCGTTCTGAAAAAAACGTGTTCCAACAAAAAACAAATTCTTGAGCTTTTTTAAAACACCAGCAATTTTTACTATAGGTACTATTAAAGTTAAAATTGTTCAACTACATACAATACAGGCTGAACGTATTGGTACAGTAACCTTACGACTAATTAATTATTATTAATACAGTTACTGTACGACTAATATAATTTTTTTTAGTCCAGCTATTGATTATTAAAATATTTTTTTTATATTTTTACTTCACAATGAGGATAAGAGAAAAAGTACAGGTATTTACAAATCTAGGACCGCCACTTTAAATGTAGAGCTTTCGAAAGAGACACAAAATATTATTATTTATCTTGTTCTCACTCTTTCAAAAATTGAATCAAAAAAGAAATACATTTGATACTTCCAATTCTTCTGAAGCAATTATGATATTGGGGTGTTGGGTTTAAAATAAAAAAAAAGACCTTACGAGAAGGCAAAGTGGAGCTACGCTTCTCAACCTACGTTATCCAAATCGGGCCTGTCACATACTCTAAAATTAAAACTTACAAATAAATATTTTTTCATCCAGATGCTCTAAATTTAAAATAAAACAAAAACAAAATAAAGTAGCTGGACAAATAGTTATGAATTAATCGTCAGTAGCTGGATTAAGTGTAGCTCCCATTTTAGCCTTCTCAACCTAGGTTATGCAAGTGGAGCCTGTCACATAATCGAAAATTGAAACATACATATAAATAATCTTTTATCCGAATGCCCTAAATTAAAAGAAAAACTAAATAAAGTAACTGGACAAATAATTATATATTAGTCGTACAGTAACTGGATTAATAGAGACACTTCCTAAAATATAAGGTGTACCTTAGCTTGTCAAAATATGCTAATTAAAGCAGGAAAATTTAGGTATAATCTAATACGAGAATATAAATATCTCGTGTCACGGTTTTTGTGGTCACGCCCATTTCGAAACGGCTCTACCGATTTTAATGGGGTTTTTTTATGTTTGGTAGGTATGAGAATAGATCGTAAAGTATTTTTTACCTTCCTACCCCCACCCCACCTATTTTATCGCGATTTTAGTATTTTTGTATGAACAATATTACAAAGAGACGAACCCGAGCGAAGCGAGGGTGAGTTGCTTTATAACATAAAGCTAAAGAGTTTTATTTGTAGATTGAACGCGGGCGTAGCCGCAGGTTATGCTAGTTTAAATTTATAATATTTACTGATTATTTTAATATTAATGATTAATATTTCAATTATAATTTTTAGGATTCCATGTTCTTGAAGAATGTAATTTAGATAATATTAGATTGCTTATTTTCCGATTCATTTCATCAAAAATATACATACCTAATAAAAATTATTCAATACAAATTTAGGATATTATATTTTATAATTAATAATTATGGCCCCAAAATTAAGATTTACCCATATAGTCTCTAGTTGGTAGGTACTTATACTTCAACTCTACCCTGCATGTACGGTTGGCAGTCTTTAAGTACTTTTGTATTTAATTATTTTTCTATATATACATATAATATGATATATACATATATGATATATCTATTTTTAGTAAGACTTCTCGATTGCTCTTCAATATATAAATGATAGTTTAATATCTTAATACATTAACCCCTTTTTAGCACAATAATTAAGTAAATATTTAAATAATATATTAACAATTCTTCAAATATGTTGAAGTGGAGAATAGTGGACGTGGATTTGATTTATAAGTTTTTTCTTAGTATAGAGGCTTTGTGAACAAAATAATATTGATTAAAAATACGAAAAATAAACGTCAGAGGTATGTGTATTGTGTAATACATAAATTTTAGTTTTTTTTTAACACATTTAAACAAATAAAAAAAACTTTTTTCATAATAGTTGTTTTGTGTTATTGTCTGGTACTTATTAAACTTAACTTATTTAACTTTTAAGCTTATTTATTTATTTGTATAATTAAATTATGTAATTAGCACTTTAAATAATTTAAAACTATCTTTTCGGATTTATTTTGATTTTCGGTTCCCGATGTTTCGAATGCTTTACAGCAATCATGGGAGAGACTAAGGTTTAAGATGTCTCAAAGGCACTATACATTAAAATCCGAAAAAAAAATCTCGTAAATCTAAGAAAGTATTCATTGGCATTTATTATTAAAAACATTTAAATAATACAAGTAATAATTGCTAGTTAAATATTATCATTATCATTGATTTTGAAGATATTGAAGATTTGCGATAAGTATAGATATGTTGTGATAAAGTGACAAATTTAGTTTATCGTGATTGATCATTTATACTGCAAAAACGCACAATAAAATTGATGCCCTTATGCATTTTATTTACCTAATAGTGTGTGTTTATTGCTTTCGTTTCTATAAATGTGTAAAATCTACAACTCTTAACATATTATATGTAAATATGAACTCGAACTTCGTCATTTAATTCAACTTTTGAGGTATGTACGAGTATACAATTTAAATTACATTTATCACTTTTACAATTAAATTGAAAGCTATCTATGAAAATATGGATATTGGAAGAAGTAGATACTCTTTTTCAAAAATTCCTCACTGAGAGAGTTAGTATAGGATTTTTAAATATTTTTTTATATTTAACTCATTAATTTAAACCACTATTAAATATAAGGTTATATATGTATAATCTAATCCGTTATATAAAAAAGTATTATAGTTACCAATTTAAAAGTAATTAACGACTGCATGTTTTTATTGAAAGCACAATCATGAAAACCCGTTGTTATTATATTCTCGAGAAAAAAAAACTAATATATTATTATCCACTATCCAATAATATTACGGGTATATTACCTAAAACCTTACACCTGATATCCGAACCTTACGTAACAGACGATCTTAATAGACCATATACAATTACGTACAACCTGGATGCGGTTGGATAACGCTCGATCCACGAAACACGCAAAACCAAACCTGAGTTTACTTAGTATGTATTTTAAAACTACTTGCTTCGGTTGTGTATAGTGAAGTAAATATGTGGCTCAATAATCACGATATAGATTTTCAACACAATGGAGTCATATTGCACTGTAAAAGGCAGCCAGAGAACTGGGCAAGTATAACTTGTCAAAGTATGTCAACCCTAACTTTCTCCGTTTATCTAATATGTGTAATGTAAGTTAAAGCTATTAGCGACTTATCGTAATAGGATAGCGCTAGTATCAATACATTGTTCATATAAAAGGGAAACTTAATTAATGACTAGTATGTAAGTCATGTTTCTTCTGTCTAGTACACGAATAAGGCATAATAAACATTGTCACAAAAATGTTAGTAATGTTATAAAGATAAAAAAAATGTTATAAAGATAACAATTTGTTCTTAAATTTCACCTTTATCAATTGTTTTATTGTAATAAGTAAAAACTCTAAGAACTTACATGATCATACTTATTTGTCTCTTATCCAGAAAAACTTGTGGTTATAAGCTCTCCAATAAGCTTTGTTTAGTTATCGTTCGATTTTTTTTTGTTAATAGTGAGTTAGATTTGTTTTCACTCCACTTCATAAGCTGTATAAACACACAATTAACAAAAGAATTTGTTATCAGGAGCGCATGTATGAATTGGAAAGACGTGAAGCTGAATTAGCCCTTGAAGAGAAACGGCAGTTGGAAGCAAAGAGAACATTATTACAAGAAGCCGCAAGGAAACAAGATGAGCCTGTGGATGACAGCAAATTAGTTGAAGCGATGTTTGACTTCCTTCCTGATTCAAGTAGCGAAGCGCCGGCGCCTAAGGATACATCGGTCTTCAGTGACCTTCCACAACCTAGGGCTGACCAACAAGAGGTAAATATTAAAGACATCTTAAAATACGTTAAAGAATGTGTTAAATTTCTACGTTTCTTTACTAAACGAAGTGGATTCATTAATGTTTTGCTTCAATGCCTTCGTATATTTGATTAATATAACACGAAAAAGTTTTTTTTAATATAAATTATTAGTAACTTTCTAAACAATTAAAAGATAATATAACAATAATCGAGCCGTAGCTTTTATAAATAACTTTTTTCTTATAAACTTAAAACTATTACAGATGGTAACACCGATGCAAACAACATCTGAAGATGAAGAGGATCTATCAGAATTTAAATTCCAGAAATTTGCAGCTACATATTTCCAAGGGAACGTTACCCATCAATATTCTAGGAAACCTTTAAAACATCCACTATTACCATTACATACACAAGGGGATCAATTGGTAAGATTCAAAAGCATAGACGCAAAATAACTAGCATTTCCCGCGGCTCCGCGTTCAGATGACCAAAAACAAAATTCTTAGGTTTTATATATTAGTATACTCTTACATTGCAGTTTTTGTATTTTTTTCAGAAATGAGATATCCTATATAATTTTATCAAATTTCATCAAAATCTATCCAATGGTCTTCTCCTGATGCGGTAACAGACAGACAGACAAAAATTCTAAAAACTATAGATTCGGACTCTGTATCAATAATAATGTCTATTTCAATTAGATTTTCCAAAAAATATTGAATGTACAAATTCGACTTAGTTACAATTTTATTATATGTATAGATGATATATCAACCTTCAAGCAAAAGATAAAATAAGCACATAATCTTCCAACAATTTGCAATAGGTTATTAATTTAAAATTACAATTTGTTAAATTATTAATTTCCTCACTTTGAAAGAATTAGTTTCGGCAAAATCTACATAACAGTCAGTCCGCTTCGCGCCGTCGTACGCGTTGAATGTGTCGTGTCGCCTTTAAGGCGGTCTCCGCACAGTAACGAAATTACTCGCGGAGGTATAACGATTCAAAAATGGGTGAATCCAGATGTGACAAGTGTCAAATCGTGATAAATGAACTGCTAGCCTTTATAAGCAATAAGGTTGATACCTTACCCGAGACGGGAATCGTGCGCATATGTGTTAGTGCATATTCCTATACATTGAGAACGCTAGATCTATTGCATTTAAGTTAATGGCACCTACAAAGAAAATCACAAGAAGGAAGGAGGGTTCTGAACAGAAAAGCATACAGGATATTATCAAGATTATTAAGGAGTTCGAACCTGATAACCTACCTACATTTGTAGCTAAAAATCTTAATCGTCTACCGAGTGTAACCTTTGACTATATTGACGTGACATCATTTCTTAAGGAAATGACAATATTAAAAAATGATATAGTTAATTTGAAAAGTGAACGAAATTTGACTAATAATAATACTACCCTGTATTCTGACTTCAATAATACAATAAAGGACGAGATTAATGACATCAAAAAAATGATTTTGGAGTTACAAAAAACCCGCAACAATAGTAGTAATTTACAGGACGATCTATTTCTTAGGTCTTATCATAATGATAAGAATGCAAGAAATAAGTTAAATACCAGTATAACGAACACGGTAAATGCGGGTATTATTGAGATAGACGCCGACGCCCCACAGCCCGACGGCGTGACCAAGCGGAGAGCCCACAACAAGCGGACCTCTCACTCCTCCACAACATCCGAGTATAATCTCTCGCCGCCGCTAGCAATGCCTGCACCACGGGCGCAACCACGAGTCGCGCCGCAATGCGAAGTGGACACAACGTTATCGCGACAGCATCAAAACGATGTAAATGAAGTACATTATGTACCTACTTATAGAGACATTGTGGAAACGATCCATAGTAATCAATCGCAAAAGCAGAAAGACGACGGTTTTACTCTGGTAACCAGAAAAAAACCTACTTATAGATATAGAAACGTGCGAGGTACATTGCAGAATAGCAAGCTACAAGCTGCTGAGTCATTTGCGTGTATATACCTATCGCGTACTAGGAAAAGTATTAAAGAGAATGACATTAGAGAACACATAAAAGAAATGCATGAAGACTGTTTAAAAATAGAAATGTTAAAGCAGAATCGAGAAACTAATTTCAATTCATTTAAGATAACTGTACCAACATTTAAATTACAAAAATTTTTACAAAAAGAGTTCTGGCCGGAAGGTTTGGTGTTTCGTCGTTACAGACAACAACGTTTATTTGGAAATAGTACTGATGCATCTAATAAATCATTATGATTGTACAACAAAATAATATAGAATTTATTTCTTTTAACTGTAAATCGGTTAAAAGATCTGTTCAACATGTGCGAGATTTGTGTAAGAGAGCTGATATCGTCGCTCTTCAGGAGACTTGGCTGATGCCACACGACTTAGGTTTCATGAACGAAATTGATAAGGAGTTTGGCTGCTGTGCAAAGTCCTCTATCGATACATCAGCAGGAGTGCTACGCGGGCGGCCCTACGGTGGGACGGCGCTTATGTGGCGAACGAGTTTGTTTACCAGCGTCGATATTGTGCAGTGTGACAGTGATCGGATAGTGGCTATGCGTTTAAGTATAGATACTCGTAGTATACTTGTGTTTAGTGTATACATGCCTACGGATTGTGTAGATAATCTTCCAGAGTTTACTCAATGTCTCGCAATAATCAGCGCTGCGATTGAAAGCGTTGATACGGAATGTGTTGTGATATTAGGGGATTTCAACGCGCATCCAGGAACTCTTTTTGGAAAAGAGCTGGCGGAATACTGTGGTGAGCAATCATTATGCTATTTGGACGTAGAGAGACTTGATAAAGACACGTATACTTTTGTGAGTGAGGCGCATGGCTCGTGTCGTTGGCTTGACCACTGCATAGTGACGGCCGCCGCGGCACCTCTTGTCATAGATATACATGTGAAATATGACTCATTCTGGTCAGACCACTTTCCTCTTGTCATACACTGTGATTTTAGTTTAATTAGGCCTAAAGTAGTATGTGATATTAATTTTAATTTAGGTAGTTTAAAACATTTATGGGGTAATAGGGAGAAAGAACAAATGGATATGTATACAAAATTTTGTGATGAAAAGTTAAGTAATATTTTATGTAAATATAGTGATGTACACATGGAATGTTTTGGTGTAAAATCACTTTGTGCGAATGGGGATCACTTAACACGTATAGACCAATTTTATTGTGATATTATAAGTGCACTGCGGTTGGCAGCTGAACAGAGTTCTGACGTAAAAAAATATAGAAAGGGACAGAGAGTCGTGGGCTGGAATTTTCATGTCAGGCGCTCACATGTTAGGGCTAGAGAGAGGTTAGCGTTGTGCGTCCGTCAGGGTAGGCCATACTCGGGGTATTTTTATGATAGCATGTTAGCCTCACGCAGGGAGTTTAAATCCGCACTCAAATACATACAATGTAATCAAGAACGCATTAAAATGGAAATGCTGGCTCGGCATCGTTCCACTTGTAACTTTGTTGATTTTTGGAAAGAAACCAAAAAGCTTAATAATAAAAATTGTGTACCGGTGAGTGTTGAAGGAGAAAGAAATAAAAAAAATATAGCAAACTTATTTAAAGATCATTTTAATGTACCTAATAAGCAAAACAGTGTAATTAGTATATCTAAAAGTAAACTTCAGTCATCTCGCTCGGAGACTTGCCACGAGACAGTTTCACCCAAACAGATAGAATTAATTCTGAGGTATATGAAGCGTGGTAAGTCTCCGGGCCACGATGGACTTAGTATAGAACACTTGTTGTATGCTGGTCAGCATGTCTGTAAGGTACTGGCGAGTTTTTTTAATCTCTGCATAAGACATAGTTACTTACCAGAGGAACTTACCCGTGCGCTGGTAGTTCCTATCACAAAGAACAAAACGGGAGATATCTCGAGCGTGGCTAACTATAGGCCTATCTCACTGGCCACGATAGTGGCCAAGGTGCTTGAACGTGTCATCCACTCCTACACAAGCGCAGTAGGTATTGATGACGGGCAGTTTGGATTTCGACCACAAGTTTCAACAGACATGGCTATATTCGCCCTAAAGCAGGTTGTCAGCTATTACAAACAGGGTAACACGACAGTATATGGCTGTTTTCTAGATCTAAGCCGCGCCTTTGACACACTTAATCACGATCTATTGTGGAAGAAGGTACGGGACACAAGTGTCCCGTCTGAGATTGTTGGCCTCCTCGAGTATTGGTACCGTAACCAGACCAACAATGTCAGATGGGGCAATGAGCTGTCAGACTGTTATCAGCTTCCATGTGGTGTCAGGCAGGGGGGGCTTACATCTCCTGATTTGTTTAATATCTACATTAATGATCTAATCGGGGAGCTGAGCAGGACTCCAGTGGGGCTGAGGTTGGATGGCAGATACGTCAACAACCTAAGCTACGCTGATGATATGGTGTTGCTCAGCCCCTCGATTAAAGGCTTACGAAAACTTATCGCGATATGTGAAAGATATGCCAAAGAGCATAATCTAACATATAACGCAAATAAAACAGAAATGATAATATTCAGATCGGGAGAGGTGCCACAAAATGTCCCCGTCGTTTGTGTTAATGGGCAGCCTGTCAAGGTAGTGGACAACTTTAAGTACCTTGGCCACATCGTAACTTCCCGTCTTAAAGATGACGCAGATATCGAGCGTCAACGTAGGGCTCTATGTGTGGTGGGCAACATGATTGCTAGGAAATTTAAATGCGCAGCGCCTGACGTGAAAATTACTCTGTTCAAAGCTTTCTGTCAGTCGTTTTACACGTGTCAGCTCTGGACTAACTATAGTAAGAAGTCGCATGATGGCATACGAGTAGCCTACAATAACGTTTTTCGAATCCTCATGGGCCTGAAGCGTTATTGTAGCGCTTCAGAAATGTACGCGGAGGCGAGGGTCGACTCATTCAATGCCATACAACGTAAGAGGATTGCATCGTTCATGTCCAGGGTTGATACGTGTAATAATGGCATTATTAGAAGTTTGTCCGCTAGGCTGATGCAGTCAGCAATGTACCGACGCTGGGTGGATATTGCCACCTAGTATCTATTTGTAATTTATATTGTTTATATTATTTAATTTTTATTGTATTATTGTATGTGTACTATGGATCAAGGGTCTGAAATAAAGAATTATTATTATTATTTTTGTGTATATATTCTCAGCTAAAAGCTGGTAAATAAATGGCGATTACGGGTCAAGACCAAGTAACCGTCATTGTAATTGGGGATAAGCTACATTAGTGTCATCCTGCATGAATTTTCGAACGATTCGACATGTATTTAAAATTGCTGCTTTTTGTATATTAATGTATGAGTTTGGTGATATGTCTAGAATTTTCAAGCTATGATGTAAGTGCTTCGGAATTACTCCGGTCGTAGAGAGTACTATGGGTATTATAAAAACTTTTTTCATCTTCCACATTTTTGTTATTTCTTCTTTTAGTTCTGTGTATTTATTTATTTTTTCGGTTATTGTTTTAATTAAATTGTGAGTATTAGGTACGGCTATATCTATTATATATACTATTTTATTTACTTTATCCTGGAGCGTAATATCCGGTCTATTGTAATGGATGGTTTTGTCTGTCAGAATAGCACGGTCGTAGTAAATTTTATAATTTGTATTTTCAAGAACGGATTTTGGTGTGTATTTGTAATATGGTGTATGTGTGTCTGGGATGAGTTTGTGTTTGATTGCTAATTTTTGGTGTATTATATTTACTATCTGGTTATGTCTGTGTGTGTAATCTGTCTGCGTGAGTGTTGGGCATGCTCCTGTAATATGCTGAATGGTTTCGGGCTGTTTGTGACACTTTCGACATTTATCATCTGCTATTGTAGGGTCTTTAATTATATATTTTCGATAATTTTTTGTATTGATGACTTGATCCTGTATTGCTATCATGAAGCCTTCGGTTTCAGGGAATAAGTAACCACATGCAAGCCACTTATTCGATGCTTCCGAATCTACATGTGCTTGATCCAGGTCATAAGGATGTCTGCCATGCAAAACTTTCTTTTTCCATTGTTCTGATTTCAAGTATTCTCTGTTTGTGTGCTGGTCAATTATATTATCGGTTATATGTGGCTTTTCTACAAGGTTTAGTGGTGTGAGGTTTACGTCTATATTAACAATAGCATTGTGTAAATTACTGGTACTCATTTTGCTGTGAAAGAAAGATCTAAGGGTTGAAAGCTGCTTAGTCCAGAGAGCTTGAATGTCTATAAGACCTCTCCCACCATGTTTTCTATCTATTGAAATTCTTTCTACTGCAGATTTGGGATGTAAATGATTAAATTTTGTAAGAATAGTACGTGTTTTCATTTCAATGCCAACTATGTCTGTTTTTGTCCATTTTATTATACCAAATGAATATGTCAATATCGGAATCGCATAAGTATTAATAGCTTTAACGAGGCTTTTTGATGTTAGTTGGGTTTTACAGATTTGACTAACTCTATTTTTGTACTCAGTTAATAATACGTTTTTTAAACTAGTGTGGTCTAATAGTTTGGATTGCTGATAACCTAAGTACTTATATACCTCTTATTATTATTATTATTATTATTATAACAATCTAATTGAATAAAGTTGCTTAACACGTTCGTTCTAATAGTTGAAGAGATAATAACTGTACTCGTTTTCAATTTGCGCTAAATTAGACGAGACAGTTAATTGCTATATTATAACCACCATGTATAAGATTACATGTTTAGTACGATATCGTGTTAAAATCAGATATGTTTAATGGACTTTCATAATTACTGATAGCGGTGTTACTTTTAGGCGGCTCAAGCGTTATGGGTCACTATTTTACGTTTCACTGGAGATTTAGCAGAGCCAAGGTATCATACTATGGACCGAGACAATACATCAGTTATGTCCAAAGTAACGGCAACTCTTGGACGTAATTTTATAAGATCCAAGGAGTTCCAAGAAGCACAAATGATGGGGATGGATCCTGATGCATATTTAAATAAACAAAAACCGAGATCGATTAGACATAAGCTAGTGTCATTAACTTTAAAGAGGAAGAATAAACTTGGGGAAGATGTTAGAAGAAAGCTTCAGGTAACAATTATGTTTGTTTTATAATATCACTTTATTATACTAGATAAACAAAGTACATATTTATTACTAGTTGATGGTAATTTCTCACTAAAATCACTAAGAAGTCTTGATCGAGTCCAGTTTAAAATTAAGAAGTCATTTTTATTTACTTTAAATTATATATATTTTTTCTCTAAATAATAATCAGCACATTAGCACATATTTGATTCTAGCGCATGTTATTATTTAAAAACTATAAAAAATTTCAGGATGAGGAATACACAGCAGATAGCTATCAATCATGGCTAGAGTCGCGACCGACATCGAATTTAGAAAAATTGCACTTTATCATCGGCCATGGCATTCTACGAGCTGAATTACGAGATGAAATCTACTGCCAAATCTGTAAACAGTTAACCAATAATCCTTCAAAATCGTCCCATGCTCGTGGTTGGATCTTACTTTCATTGTGTGTAGGATGTTTTGCGCCCAGTGAAAAGTTTGTGAATTATCTAAGGGCGTTTATCCGAGAAGGTCCTCCCGGTTACGCGCCGTACTGCGAAGATCGTTTGAAAAGAACTTTTAATAATGGAACTAGAAATCAGCCGCCATCTTGGCTAGAGCTTCAAGCTACGAAATCCAAAAAGCCAATTATGTTACCAATCACCTTTATGGATGGAAATACGAAAACCTTGTTGGCCGATTCCGCAACAACTGCGAGAGAATTGTGCAATCAGTTATCAGATAAAATAGGTTTGCGAGATCAATTTGGTTTTTCGTTATATATTGCTTTATTTGATAAAGTGAGTTCGTTGGGTAGTGGTGGTGATCACGTGATGGATGCGATATCGCAATGCGAACAATATGCGAAAGAACAAGGTGCTCAAGAGCGTAATGCGCCATGGCGATTGTTCTTTAGGAAAGAAATATTTGCTCCTTGGCACGACCCTACTGAAGATCAAGTAGCTACTAATTTAATATACCAACAAGTCGTTAGAGGTGTAAAGTTCGGCGAATATAGATGTGATAAAGAAGAAGACTTGGCTATGATCGCAGCTCAACAATACTATATCGAGTATGGCCAAGATATGAATACCGAACGTCTTTATACACTATTACCAAATTATATACCAGATTATTGTTTGACTGGTGTTGAAAAAGCAGTCGATAGATGGGGTGCTCTTGTAGTACAAGCATATAAAAAGAGTTATTACGTCAAAGAGAAGATCCTCACATATAAAGTCAAAGAGGATGTAGTGAGCTATGCAAAATTTAAATGGCCATTACTATTTTCTAGATTTTACGAAGCTTATAGAAATTCAGGACCGAATTTGCCTAAAAATGATGTTATTATAGCGGTGAATTGGACTGGGGTGTACGTTGTTGATGATCAAGAGCAAGTCCTACTTGAACTATCCTTCCCGGAAATAACAACAGTATCGAGTCAAAAAACGAATAAAGTTTTCACACAAACGTTCAGTTTGTCAACCGTCCGTGGCGAGGAGTTTACTTTCCAAAGCCCAAACGCAGAAGACATTCGTGATTTAGTCGTGTATTTCTTAGAAGGTCTTAAGAAAAGATCAAAATTCGTCATAGCATTACAAGATTACAAAGCACCGGGCGAGGGATCAAGTTTTTTGACTTTCCTAAAAGGAGATCTGATAATTTTAGAAGAAGATAGTACAGGAGAGTCAGTGCTAAATAATGGATGGTGTATTGGTCGTTGTGAAAGGTCTATGGAAAGAGGTGATTTTCCCGCTGAAACAGTTTACGTGTTGCCCGCGTTATCTAAGCCACCTCCAGACATTTTAGCTTTGTTTTGTCAAGAAGGAGCTCAGCACGGAAGAAGAGCGCCAACAAGTACATTCAATGGGACAGAAACTAGAGACAAACCACACAACCTATTAGAATACGCTTTAGATCACTTTAGATTACCTCCAAAGCGAACGACATCTAAAGCCTTGACCTTATCCACAGCTAAAAGAGGTGCTGAGGAGTTATGGAGGCATTCGAGAGAACCAATAAAGCAGCCCTTACTTAAAAAATTACAGGCTAAAGAGGAGTTAGCTGAAGAAGCATGTTTCGCTTTCGCCGCCTTACTGAAATATATGGGAGACCTTCCTTCGAAACGTCCAAGAATAGGCAACGAATATACAGACCATATATTTGATGGACCATTAAAACACGAAATCTTACGAGATGAAATATACTGCCAAATAATGAAGCAATTAACGGATAATAGGAACAGAATGTCAGAAGAACGGGGTTGGGAGTTAATGTGGCTAGCGACAGGGTTGTTCGCTTGTAGTCAAGGCCTTCTTAGAGAATTAACATTATTCCTTAGAACGAGGAGGTATCCAATAGCCCAGGATTCACTTCAACGATTGCAAAAAACATTACGGAACGGGCAAAGAAAATACCCTCCTCATCAAGTAGAAGTAGAAGCAATTCAACATAAAACAACACAAATATTCCATAAAGTATATTTTCCGGATGATACAGATGAAGCGTTTGAAGTAGATTCTTCAACACGAGCGAAGGACTTTTGTCAAAATATTGCGCAGAGACTTAATCTACGATCTAGTGAAGGTTTTAGTTTATTCGTGAAGATAGCGGATAAGGTGATATCGGTACCAGAAGGAGACTTTTTCTTTGACTTCGTCCGACATTTAACTGATTGGATTAAGAAGGCGCGACCGACTAGAGATGGCATCACTCCGCAATTTACTTATCAGGTAAGAAAAAGTTATAAAAAATGTGAAACTTAGGCATGCTCGATTATAGTAATTTTTGTCCGAGCGCCTATTGGCTATAAAAAAAGTTAAATTTAATCCTCGTATGGGATGAATGAATTTGTGCAATGACGCACCGAGCCTTTCTTATATTGAGACTAGACTGCCCAGCAAGACAAGTGACCAATATACAATATTGACAACTAGCAAATTTTAGGCTTTTAATTATTAATAATTAATCAATAGATTTGTTCTTCAGTCAAGAATATTAGCGAACATATAATGCTTTCACGCTAAACTTTTGCAAAGTGTTAAAGTTCACGCATTCACATTCCGTAAAAAAGTGAAGATTGTACAATGTACGTCTATATCTATAAATAAATAGGCAAAGACAAAATAGTTTAGTACATTTCTCTCCACTGTTCGTCAACCAATTTTTTTTTTCTTTAGTAGCTATTGACGAGCTTTAATGTTATTAACAATATTTTAAAAACAGTTCGTTTTTTTATATTACGGTCGAATTTCAACAACTGGGCGAACACTAGTAGATCTAAATACATATTGTAATACATGTATATATCATATGATACGAAATACTCATTACAAGGAACGGCCAACAGGTATTCTTCATGAAGAAGCTGTGGACGAACACGGTGCCGGGCAAGGACCGCGCCGCGGACGTCATCTTCCACTTCCACCAAGAACTGCCCAAGCTGTTGCGCGGCTACCACCGCTGCGGCCGCGAGGAGGCCGCGCGCCTCGCCGCGCTCGCCTACAGGGCGCGCTTTGGAGATAACAAGCAGGAGTTGCAGGCTATCCCGTGAGTTTTGTTAAATGCATTGAGACTGGATACAAGAATTAAATAAAAAAAGGACACTTGATTCATCGAAATCGATTCATAATTGACGAGGATGAAGATATCGCATAGCATGCACACAAAAAAAGCAAACTAAGTAATAATTAATTTAATTTTAAGAGAAATCAAGTTTTGATAATAGGTATTTCTGTGCTATAAGTGCTTTAACAGAAAGTTCTCTTAATCTAATAAATTATTACAAAAAATATCATTTGTTAGAGTTTTTTGTATGTACCTACATATATGTACAAAAATCTTATAACATCCTAAGATACTTTATTTAATAATATAAAGATTATAAACAAATTACTTGCAGACAAATGCTCCGCGAGCTCATACCAGCTGATTTAATCAAACTGCAAAGCTCCGCTGACTGGAAACGTGCTATAGTTGCTTCATATAACCAAGATGCGGGCATGACACCTGAAGATGCCAAGATAACTTTCTTAAAGGTCATATATCGGTGGCCCACATTTGGTTCTGCATTCTTTGAAGTAAAACAGACTACGGAACCAAATTATCCTGAACTATTGCTTATCGCCATCAACAAACATGGAGTCAGTTTGATTCATCCTCAATCTAAGGTATAATAGTATTTATTTTGCGCACCTAATAAAAAAAACCTTTAAAAACTAAACTTTTAACTAATTTAGCCATACTTTTTTAACTTTCCGTTGATCAATTTTATTATAAAACTAGCATTTTCTTAGGTTTTACATATTAGTATACTCTTATATTGCAGTTTTTGTATTTTTCTCAGAAATGAGACATATTCCCGCGGTAAAAAGTATCCTATATGTTGATCCGGATAAGAAGCTATGACCATACCAAATTTCATAAAAATCTGTCGAGTGGTTTTTCTGTGATGCGGTAACAGACAGACAGACAGGCAGACAGACAAAAGTTCTAAAAACTATAGATTCGGCCTCTGTATCGACAATAATGTCTATTTCAATAAGATTTTCCAAAATATTTAATGTACAGATTCGGCTCAGTTAGAATTATATTATATGTATAGAAGAATTATAATTTTTTAATTTCTTTATGTTTAATTTTATCTGATATTGATTGAAAAATTGTCGAAAGCAATTGTTAAAGCAGAGCTGATGGAATCTATTCGAACAATGCTTTACTGCAATACATTGTATAAGTTTCTACTGACGTATTTAAGTCCGGATCCACAAGCTCGCTATTTGCCACAAACTTCACATCTCTCATGTAAAAGCATCAAGCGCTTTCTGCAAATTTCCTTTGATTTGTGTACAAAAACCAACACGATTTAGGACAGCTATAAACCTACAAAAGTCAAGCTAAACCCTGACCTCTTGTCTGAATTTGTGACGGCTTGTCGAGGTGGGGAGTTGTGGGTAGGTTGGCACGCGTGTGGAGCCGAAATGAATTCAAAACTGTATGTGAAGAAAAAACGTAACGTGACATGACATTATGTCAATGGTTTGAATTTTAAAGAATTTTCAGGTTATTACAGAAAAGTATATACATACATTTTTAAATTCATATTCGCTAGTTAATTGATTCGATTCGAGTTCTAATTGTTTGTAGGGAACATTTTGTGGAGTTATCTTCACTTTATATATGCCTACCCCAAGAGATAAACTATAAATAGATAGAAGTACCATTCCCAATTAGTACTATATAAATAAAATGTGTTTTTTTTCTAATAATCAATATAATATGTACAGGTCTAATATAAAAAAGACAATATCGTAATTATATCAGTCTTATTAAATAAACATAACTAATTGCACTTGCCTATTGTTTATATGACATCTGCTTGCAGTTTTTTTATTCAAACCTGGTTTCACTTAGAATCTGATAAAGTTATACTTTTATACATTTTTCATTTCTAAATTATTAGCTATGTATTATATTGTTAGTTATATATAACTATATTATATTGTTAGTTATATATAACTTGAAATATGTATATCTATACTTATAAAACAAAATTCACAATTCAAACCATTCAGTTCGGACAAACTTACATGTCTGCCCGAAGAGCGTGGTTTACCAATTCGATTTCGAATACCAATTACGGTACATTTCGAAACGAATATCAGAAATTGTTTCCTTTCTATAAATACAAAATGCCGGTGCGGGTGTGTTCCAAATTCTTTTCATAAACGGCTTGAACAATAATGAAGATTTTTTTTGTATACTTAAGAACGATTCAGTTGATCTGGATTGGCCCCGGTGGCGCAGTTGTCAAAATGTTGTTCTTATAATTTTATTTTGTTGGATTTTTCAAATAAAAATCATATAATCCTATTGTCATTTTGCTAGTCAGGTCTGTGTCAGAACAACGTCGTCCTATCTTTAATTAAAATATGAGTAGATTTGAGTGCACTCAGTGTACTTATATCATAAAGTGCTCTACGTTACACACACGTTTTCATATTTTCTATTCGGACAGTTCCTGACTTAAATCTCATAAGAGCATATATATGCTCTTATATATATATATATATATATATATATATATATATATATATATATATATATATATATATAATCTATTCAACCATTATTTGGTTAAAGATTAATTTTTAGGCTGAACGAGGCAAAAACGTTAAATTGAAATATGTCCGTAACCGTTTCAGGTTATGTGCGCACACGGACAGACAAAATTTTTGTTCTATTGGTTGGTCTTGATATTCCTTAGAAATTCTAATATAAATTGCCCGGCCTATTTAAAGCCTTTTTAAATATAATTTATAATATCTTTAATAAAGTGTAATATATACATGTATGTGTAATTAATTCATTTCAGGACATTCTGGTCACACACCCGTTCACGAGGATCTCTAACTGGTCATCCGGGAATACATACTTCCACATGACGATCGGCAACCTCGTGCGAGGCTCCAAACTGCTTTGCGAGACCTCCTTGGGTTATAAAATGGACGATTTACTCACATCATACATATCTCTCATGCTTACAAACATGAATAAGCAAAGATCTATGCGTGTGAAATAAAAAAAAATGGCTTGTGTCAATTATTTGACACTTCTAAAACAGATTATAAAATGCGTACATGATATATTAAAACTTAAAAGGGACTGTTTTTAACGTAGTGATAAGTTCTCTCGCTTTTTGGCGGAATATTTAAATGGATGCTTGATTAAATAAGGGTGTGTTTCGAGTGTTTGCAAGGTACTTAAAAATTATTAAAAATGCATTTTTATTAATTAACATCACATTTTATGTTTTGTTTAAAAAAATGATTGAGATAAAGGGCGTTAAACTTTTAACGCTCTTCTATCTGTCAATATCGCGTTCACATAATTGAGCGTAGAGCTAACTTGGGTACGATTTAATAAATTTATTTCAAAAAAATATATTCTAAAAATCCGTCCAATTATAATTCAAACTTATAATTTTAATAGTCATATACGAAATAATACGAAAACTTATGATAATGCCTTAAATTTTACTATTTAATTAAGTACAATGGATTCGATAAAAAGTTAAACAAAAATATAGAATAATATGTAATATTTTATAAAAATATAGGGTAAACGTGGTACAGTGATAAACAACAAAATATTGGTCCTATCTCGAGTACATATTAGAAACTAAAGCAGTATCTTCTCATATTTTATGATATTGTTTATAAGTAATATAAGTAAAGATCTGTTATTTTTTAATCTATAATCGGTTATGGTTGAAGCGAAGTTAACTTCTTATGAAATAAGCATTCAAAAATAACTCTTTTGTACTGGCGTATAGCGATTAATCATGTATTGGTGCAATTATTTTAACGATTATTAATGTACTAGCATTCTTAAAATATAAAAACGAATTAATATTTTTTTCTATAAATATTAATAGCTATGCGAATAAATCCACATCGTTGATTAAAATTTAAAAATATTGAAATCGTTTTAAAAGTTAATACTAAAGAAATGATAAAATCATTTTTAACTGAAAATTTATTTTAAGATAAATTTAATTTAATTTAAAATAAATTTTCGAGCAACGCTAGTGTAATAGGAATAATAACTTGTATCTGTTTATAAAAGAAGCGGATGTTTGTTATAAAATATTTTATATGCAAAAGCTTTGTGGAGGAAATTTAACATGCTCAATAAACTACAGTATGAGAATGGTGAGTTTCTAAGGCAATGTATAAACGATTTAATGAAAGCATAGATACTTACAGAAGGTACTTATATATTCGTCTTGGCACATAATTGAAGTTAGAATATTTTAATTTTTTAACATTTATTTCCATTTTCATATTTAATAAATACTAATTGGAAAACACAAGAAACAAGAAAATTAACATAATACATATAATTTCAAGTTTGTTCATTAATTTTTTGCAAAGACGAATATCTAAAAATCGAATGTCGAATGTTCTTAAAGCTAAATTTAATGTACCAGCAACAAATTGTATTTATTTATAAGCTAAGATATATATTGTATAATTATCGTTATGCCATGAGTTCGGAGACAATATTCCTTTGTTTTTATTTTGCTTTAAAATAAAAGTGGTATTTGTGAGTGGTTGTTAACATGAGTCACAATGACGCCCGTCTTTTATTTTAATTTAAATCAACAGCACACATAAATGGACAGTGATCAACATTCATTTAAAGTATATTATGCCGTAAAAAATATATAAAACATAGTAAAAAACTAATAACAATTATGTTATATACCTACTTAATTTAAATTTGAATATAATATCAAAAATTTGAAACTGCCGTTTGTAAGTAGTTCTAAGACATACTCGTAGAATGACGCCTAATGTTTTTACAAAAAAGAGAAATAAAGTTCACAAAGCTTAATTAAACCCATATTGCTTCAAATTACATAAAAGTATGTATATTTATATACAAACAAAAAATGCCCATATCAGGTTAATTTTAATTAAAACTTTTATAATTTATAAGTTAAGAATATAGTGCAATATTTGTGCCATGCTATATTTTCTTAATTCTGAGCAGTAAATAGTACGTATATGTAATATTTTTCCTTCTATCAACTTTTATCTATTGTAGGCTTAGATTATTATCAAGTAAGTGTATTTTGAAATTTTCAATATTAATTTATGGTATAAAACAATTAAGGTAAAAGCGGCAACAAAAAGCGTTAATTAGAACAAACAAAAAATATATATCCGCAATAAAGTCGTGAGAGACTCCCACGGCAGCGTTCTGAGTCGCGAAGAATAATGATGCCTCCATTGTCGCAAGCAGCAGGAAGTCGTTTATCTAACATCAGAATATGACTGTTTAGAGCAATTTTGTTTCTGATTTCTCGTTAAACGTTCAATTTCGGGACGATCACCTTTTACTAGTGCGTCATGGTGTGTCAATCAACTTTCAGTGACTAAATATTTACTTAAATGTTTGATTAAGCTGTATGATGCATCTTCTTGATGTTCAATATTAATTTCTTGCTTTATGAGACCAGATTCATCAAGTCAAAGAAAGAGGTAGATAAGATGTTTTTGTATTAGTTTTATAAACTATTTATAATTTGTATTGGGAAGTAGTGTGATATAAGTTTAGAAGTCACTTATTTTATTTATAATGCATGTTCAGATTTTAAATAAATTAATACTGACGCCACTCACTTATATTGACACTAGAAAGCTCTACTTATTCCCGAAAATTATAGATGGTCCTTCGAGTCCGATATTATCTAGTGATTTATGGATGCGAATATAGACTACGTTATAGCTATTTTAGTTTAATAATAAGGGAACAATTAAATCTCCAGTCACTAACGGTCAAGACAATACTTACGAGTATATTTAAAAAAAAATGGCTGCACCATTCTTTGTACAACTTACATAGAAAAACAATGCTGCTTCCACACAACTTAATTTCTATCTGATACAAAAACAAAATAGGTAGCTAATAATAAATTATTTTACGATTCGTAAAGAAACGCGGATATGATGCGACAGCAGCGAGCTATTATAATACAAAGCACACGTAATTACTCGTATAACAATGATCTCTCATTCAAGTATAAAGGAAACGGACTTAATCGCCAATTACAATGATAATCTTGACAGAAAAATCACTTCCATATCCGTATCAGATGAACGTGAAAACCCTCATCGAAGAGCCTTTAGATACTAATGTTATGATTTAGAATCTAGATTTTGCAGTTATTGCTACTTTAATACCTCCATGGTATAATGATTTAATATTACTTTAGAATTACTTTACTTTAGAAGTTTACTTCGGAGATAGTGAGAAACTTTTTTAGGCTTGTATTTTTTTAGATTAATTGCAGAATATGCGAGTCTAAATTCTTTTATTTTCAGGGTTCCGTACCCTAAGGGTGCTAACGGAACCCTATTACTAAGCCTCCGCTGTCCATCCATGTCTCCGTCTGTCAGAGAGTTGAATCTCATGAACCGTAATAGGTACAGAGTTGAAAAATTCACAGAGTATGTAGGTACTTCTATTGCCGTTATAACAACAAATAATAAAAATAAATAAAAATATAGAAGTAAAAATACAATAAACATTTTTTTAACGTTCCTAACCGATCATCGAAGTTAATATACTACATACATAGAGTAAAAGTCAAAATAATAATAAAGTACATGTATGATGGTACTACCCTTCGTGTGCCAATTAGACTCGCACTTGATCGATTTTATTGTTACTTTTGCGTTTGTACTATGTAGGTACGTGTTTTTCTTATGTTAAATTGTTGTAACTTGTTCACGTCAATATAACGCTAATTAGTTAAGATATGGCCTACTACTTACTATTTATAGATTATGATATAAGTGACAAGGCAAAAATAAGTTATTTGATGAAACTGAGAGCCGATACCGACGAAAAGCGCTGAAAAGATACCTAGATCGTCGTCGCTACTAGGTACATGTTTATTTTATTAGCGTATCTAAGTTAGGCATACTGTAATATTAATTTGAATGATATTTTAATGTAATACAGATAGATTTAGGATTAGCGAAAAATAGAGCAGTATTCTTTAATCTTATGTATAAGGTACCTGAATACCATATGTATATATAATCCAGGTCAAGCATGTACTTTTATGATTGGAGTCAAAATAATTAGGTTGAGTGGGAAAGTATAATATGTATAAAGTATTTTAATTTAACAATCACACGACCCGTCCCACCTATAATAGATAAGATTTAATCTGTTTTTTTTTTAATTAACTGCCGAATACCTAATGAACGCAGGTTTATTACTCGAATTCCTAAATGAACTTTGGATTTATTTCTAAAACTAGCGACTCATCCTCGCTCCGCTCGGTTTCACCCTTAGGTACGTTTTAACAGTTAGTATAGATTTCTCAGTTATTAGATATTTTCCCGCGATATAAAAAATATAGACCCGGACAACCAGCTATCATCATACCAAAATTTCATCAAATTCTGTCTTGTAGATTTCTCGAGATGCGTTCCCAAACAGACAGACAAGAAATTCAAAAACTATAGATTTGGCCTCTGTATATTTCAATAAGATTTTCCAAAAATAATTAATCTGCAGATTCGACTCAGAACTCGATTTATATTAACATAACGAAATTCTAACTAGGATGCTGTTCTAACTTCTATTTAGGTAGAATGTGCGCCACGCTGCTCGTGGATTAATCTGTAAAATGCGTTTTCATTATTCTTTAAATTGAATTTGCCTAATAGGTTTATATTTTGTAGCTTACTGTTTAGCTATTATCTTCCGTTTGCCACAGAAAATGGAACTTGTAAGCAGCTTTATTATAATAACAGACTCCAAAAATAAGAACATATAGATTACCTATACAAGTACCTAGAGAGAGTGTTACAGTTTGCACTTGGTTGCGTTCTGAATTACAGAAGTATAAAAGTAATTAATCCGACAATTTGCAATTTAATTATATAGATCTACCGTTACATTACCCGTAGCAACTCAGTAAAATTATTAGTTCCCACGACCAGAGATGACATGTTGGAAAACACGAGCAGTGCTGAACTTTTCCCACACTCTGCA